TGTTGGGCATTAAACCAGACATCTGTCACGTAGTAGGAGTAGTGAGATAGTACCATTTTGAACCTAGAGGAATACTAGATTATTGTTAAGCATGTACTCAAGTATCTTTGGAGAACGAGAGATTATATGCTGGTATATTCTAGTGGGAGTCTTGAAAAGCTGAGTTTTCAAAAATTCAGTTATTTCAAGTGGATATTGACTCAAGAAAATCAACCTCGAGCTATGAGTTTTTCACTAAGCTCAGATAACATTAGAGGTGGATCTTGCAAACCCAGTTACTAAGTGTTTGCCTGAACTTGTGTTCGAGAGGCATGTTACTTCTTTGGGTCTTAGGAGGATCCCAGACTTCATTAAGCAAGTGGGAGTTATTGGTTTCATTGTGCTCTTGGAGTAAGACGATGAAACAATAAAATAATTTTTTGAATTTCATAAATAAGGTTTTATTTATTTATTTTGCGCACTATTTACAAACATAAAGGTCCGGATCAAATTGTGGAGTATATGATCATATGGATACGTTCATGGAGGACATGATCATAGGTTCTCACAATTGATGAATGGAGTCACAGTCGTTAAATAAAGTTGGGCACTTTATTCAGGCTGCAATATTTTATGAAATGATTTTGTCCGAATCATTGTAAAATATTGGTGTGAATTAACATTCACATTGAAAGAATCAAGGAGAGATTTGATTAAGGTTGTTTTTCTGTCATAAGGTATCAAATCTCCAGTTAACTATAGTTATGTGATTGCTCTTAATCCTGAGTTTATTATAAATAGGTAATCAAATAGTTTTCATTCTTTGATTTACCAACGGGTGAGGTTCGATCTATTGACGACCAATAACTCGGTATTTTGGGAGTGAGATTATTTGATTATCGGTATTTATGAGATAAACAACATGGAATTTGTAGGATATGTCCCCTTGATATGTTTCGGTACTTGGATATTAAAGACACTGGCCAGTGCATGTAATCCATCAGAGAAACTATCATAGTCAAGGGAATAAATAATTGATTGAGTTACAGAAAACTTGTCAATCAATTATAGACATTCTACAAAGGGGCGATGCATATTCATGTTATAAGTGTTGTTAATCTTGGAGTTCAAGTTCGGGCTTTTAGTGGAGTAGCACCGAATTAGATAATCATTCGTTGATTATCAGGAGCCTTGATTAATAACAGATGCATGGTAGATCCCCAAGCTAGCTTGAGACAAGGGATGGGGTATTTTTCGGATAGATGATGACTTATGGGTTACATGATCTTGGGTTTTACGACTCAAGTTTGTATCCAAAAGAGCAAGTGAGAGATTGTTGGGTTTGCTCTTTTACTAAAGCCCAAATGGGTTATTAGTATGAGAAGAGCCCAAGGAACCTAGAGCCCAATGAGCTAGGGTTTCTTGGAACCCATATAAATAGTTCCTCTTAAGTCATCAGCCTCCAAGGTCCTTTTTGTGAGAAAGAGGCAAGTTCAGAATCTAATCAGTGCGCCCACACACTTCCCCTTCCTCCTCGAGAGATAGTTTGGAAGATCTGCCACAGTCCAGCTTCAAGGAGGTTGTTCGTGCTGCGGCGCTGAGGTGAGCTGTTCGTGAAGAGGAATCCTACAAGGGAAGATTCTACACGAGACCTGCGCACCGAAAGGTAATTGTGAAACAAGGATGATTCGGTAAGCATACCAATGTACTAGGTCCTAAACCGCTTCCGCATAAATCTAAGATTTCCTACAATAACAAATTACTGTGCACAAATAATAATGGCTTAGGCAGAGTATGGAGAATGTGCACAGTGATAGCTAAAGAGGTAGAGAGCATAAAGTATATACCTGGTAGATTTGACCCCTTATTTATATGTGGTTTACTTGTAGATGTAGAATCCTGATCAAAGTTGGATTGTTAGGGGGATATGATAAGTTGTTTATCCATTATCCCTTAGTGATAGTCGATAACGTGCCTATTCTTATCTCTTTGATTGTCACTTGTTGTTAGGTTGTTGAGAACTATGAGCCCATAAGATAGGTCTAGAACACAATAAATATGATATACTACATTACACTACACTTCCTACAATTAATATGCTACACTAAAAAATTAAATAGAGAAGGATTAGAAATAAGGTATAGAACTTGAGAGAGAATCCCATGAAGAAGTTGTAGAGAAAGGAGAATATTGCAAAGTTGAGGGAGTGAGGGAGAAATTGTAAAGGAATGAAGGCTTATATAAGGGTGAAGGACAGACGACCACGACTTTAATTACCACGAGGTGTAGTATGGTAAGTCTTGCTGTCAGACACAAGAGGATATGTACATATTGGGTCCAATAAAGAGATAAGTCCTGTTGTGTCTAATAGCGAGATTTTGTTATTGCAGATTGAGAAATAATTTAAAAAACGAGACATTTTGATATTTAGATTATAAAAATTATCATGTATGGAGAACTCATTGTCAGACAATTTATTATTGTCACTTATTTCTGACATTACGAGCAATATATAAATTATGACTATTAATCTTTAAAAGATGAAAAAAGTGGTGCAAAGAATAAAAATATACTATTAGAATTATTTAAATTCATAATGGTTATAAGAAGTTGGGAAAATGACATGTCTTGCCTAACGGACGTGTTTTTCTGTTTGTGAACAAATGTAATTGTCTGTTATGACGTTCTTATTCTATAAATTTGGAGAACTCGACAACACTGGGTCAGCAAGATCTTTCATTTTTTTTTCTACATTTTTAAGAGGGGGGAGGGGGAATTGTTTTGACAAGGGCATCTTTGGGTTCAGATTCTTGTCCCTTTGATTTTAATTAAGGGTTTGTTTTTTCTTATGTTACTTTAGATAACTTTATCTAATGTTCATCAAAACGACATGTTTTTTTGACGGAAATCATAGTATTTTTGTAATTTTAATTTATTTCAGGGTTATAATAGTCTTTGTCACTCTAATTTTTTAACTTTTCAACATCAAAACGACGTCGTTTCGATGAACATTAAATAAAGTTATCTAAAATAACATCGGAAACTTTTTTTCCTTTAATTAATTATATTTCCGTCCAATATGCTTTAATTTTATGTCGTTGTAATTAAGTTTTAATCTTTTGTGTGCATTTCGTGTTGTTGCATTTACACGTGCTAGCTACTTGTAATCTTACTAGTTTAATTTGGGAAGCATGCCAAGACAAGACATCAAAAAGAAGAGTTCAATAAAACATAAAGGATGTGACTAGGCATAATTCTCATCCACTGCAAGGCTCTAAGGAAGGAACTTAATTACTAACAGCGTGAGGATTAAGATTATGAAACCCTTTCATATATATATATATATTCTGAAACTCTGGTGGACAAAAATAACTTCATGACATAAAGTTGGTAAACCTTAATAATATATAACTTCAGAATATATATAGTTTTAGATCAATTGTTTGGAAACACATGGATTTTGCTGTCACCTATATCTTTGTGCAAGGAATCATTAAGATATTAAAAAATGAAATAGACACACAGATTAGTGAGTATCGCTTAAACCATGTGCTCTTGATGTTAAACTTGTTGACCGTTCTTACAAAACCATGTGTGTTGGTGCTAATTTTGTTGACCATTAGTTGCGGAATTTTGTCTCATAATTTCCTTATTAACATATATGTGCTCGGAGAAAGTAGCTGACCTGCACATGGTTTCCCACATTTCAAGAAACACAACCTCTATATCGCACCTTCTCACACTCTCGTTTTAAAATAAAAACTATACTATATAATTAACTTTTATAATCACATTCATACAGTACAGACATTCAACCTCGAAGAACATCGCCATGCTAGACAGTGATGACTTCCCTTATTATGATATATAATGTAATATCATCCATCAATTTTTTTTAGTTGAATTGATTCTTTCTATGGTATTAGAGTTTCAGTGTCACCGGTTCGATCTTTGCTGCAAATTTTTTAACACAGGTAGGTGGATATGAGCATTGTCCACCCTTCAAGTTCAATGAGCTCTCATGTGAAGGGGCGTGTTAGTCTGTTAAATATATATAAAATTATTAATGTAACCTCATTTACCAGCTTAAACTTCTAGGTTGAATTAGTTTTTTACAATTCAATTTCATTAACAAGTTTTAATATTTGGTTATACTTGGCACTTCAAATGAGATATTTACATGAAGTACTTAAAAATATTACTTTGTTAGTGAGTGATATATAATTTCTTCCGAAAATCTTTCAAGAGATTAGAGGGGTCTTCTTCGACCCTATTGGAATACTGATGTCTAATCTCACTTAAATTTTCATGTAATTTTTTTCTTTGAGTTATTATAGTAAGAGAGTATAACATCTCAACCGAAGGGGAAAGACAAGTTGTGACTTGACGAAGAATTTAACCTCCAACATAAACATTATATTCGATTATTTAAATGCTTTAACTTTTTTTTAAAAATACATTGGAAATCGAACAAATTACCTACTACCCGCTAAATGCTTAACTTTTTTTATCGTGTGTCCCTAAGCCAATATTAATTAATAACGAACTCTTTGCCAATTTAAAATAAGCTTACAAGGTCCTAAGCCTTGGTCTTTAATTTTTACTCTTTAATTTTTCTTTCTTTCTTTTTGACCATCTATCAACATTTCATAAACATGTTCCAAACTGCAAAGAAGTAACATGCCCATCCTGACGGAAAATGAGATTTTTCAAGTGACTACTATATATAGTGAATTTAAAGTTATGCAAGTAACTAATTAAATAACGTTCGAAATTAGTTGCATCCTAGTACTAATCAAACAAAACTAACTACAACTGGTGCTTCAATATATATCAACAAGCTCTTAGACATTAGATTCCTCAACTGTGAAAATTTGTGAATGATACCCATCTTTTGTAGTGCATGAATTGAAAACTCAACTGTGATAAAAAAAAAATGGGAAACCCACAATTTTTTTTTTCCTGGGAAAAAGGGAAAGAAAAAAATATTGATCAAGAAGATCATCCTAGTGGTTTTTGACCTAATGAGAGTTCCCTTCTACTTGAACAATGGGACATGAAGTTCTTGTATTTGCCACAAACCTTGAAGAAAAGGCATAGAACTTATAGTAATCCTCATCCAATAAGCTCCCACATCCAGAGGTATCAAAGTTCAAGGAATAGCTCAATGGATCATAGCGACATTGGAACGAACCTTGTCTACTTGCACTAGAGGGTCGTAGTGTGCGGCTCCTACTACGTCTCTTGAGTTTTCTCATCAGTTTTGTCACCAGACAACAACAGTGACATGTTGAGGTGGTGGCAGCCTCAGCTTTGGCTGGCACAGTGGCAATAGTGGAGGTGGGAGTGGTGGCAGATTCATGTTGCTTCTTCATGATGGTGATGGTGGTGGTGTTCTTTTGAGAGCAGAGAAATGAAAGGGGAGTGAGTGTGAATAAGAGTGAAGGTGATTGATTCTCTTACATGCATTCTTGGATGGTAAGTGGAACTAGTATTTATAAAAGAGGAATGTACTATCTATCACATGATCCGCCAAAAGAATGGCATGAATCATATATTTATAAAATGAGAAGGAAGTTAATTTTACTATTTCCTTTTTCTTATAATTATTTTTTTATTTGTAAATCAAAATTAAATTAATATTATAAAAATAATATTAAGTAAGAGTAGTTAATTTAATGATAACAATTTAATTATAAGAGATAATAAGGAGAGGAAATTGTAAATATAATTTGTTATAGTTTGTTACATGAGAAATATTAGTCTCATGTTACATAAGAGTAGTTCTCTCATCTCATGTAAAATGAGAATAGTATTTTGCTTATTATATACGTATAAAGGCACATGGATTAATGCAAATCTTACAGAAGATCTGAAATAAAATTACAAAAAAGTAATAAGGTGAACACTAGTAGGCTAGCAGAAATATATCATTATATAAGTTGCTTTGACTGCAATCTGCATCAGCCACGTGATCACAATAATTAGTATGAATTTACAAAATATGTACTCATGAAATTATAGCTGCATTTGATTTTATGACCAAAAAAATAAATAATAACATTTGATTCGATAATGAGTAATGATGAACCTGCTGCGATGGCAGAGCAAAGCCCAGCATTTTTTTTTCCGGTTAATTATATTGTTCTTATTATTTTTTTACAGCTTTTGTCATTTTTTAATATATTTATTATCTTCAAATTAAATTTATAAACTGTTACTAATTTGTATTATTATCATTTTTAATGAAACGTTTAAAATTGTATTTTTAATTTAATTAAGTTAAATTAATTTACAGAATAAGAAAGTTATATAAAATTATGTTATTTTACGCAGTAAAAATGTTATTCTGTAGTATTAATACTGATATTTTAAAATCCGATCCGATTATCGATTCGGTTAAAGTATTACGTCACTGAATTTATATTAAATTATATAATAAATATATTATAAATTTTGACTAATAACTGAGGGTATCCTAATAATAAATGATAACATTACTCGTTTTCATAGATTGAGTTTGATTCACGTTGAAAACAGAATATTTTATCCAATTTTTAAAAATTGATTTAAAGGAGAAAATAATTTGATCTGCCGAGTTACATTCAACCCGCCAGTCACCAAGTCAACTGGCCGATAGTGATTCAATTGCATGACTAATTCAATGATCCGCTAAGAGAAATACTACTCTTATTTTATATGAGATAGTTATCTCATTTTCTTTCACTTCGAAAATTGTACCTCCTCTTTTTTCATTTTTTTTTTTTGCTTTTAAATGGTGGGCCCTACTTGAATTCTCTCTGTTACATGAGAGAACTACTCTTATGTAATATGAGAGTAATATTCCCCATCAATTAAACACTGATTAATACTCTCAAACTTTTGCTGCACTAATTCTTTTCTTTTCTTTTCGCATATATTACCAAATGCACAGAAAATGAGAAAATTTGACTAAAAAAAACTGGAATGTTAAAATGCAATTAAAATAAAAAATAAATACTATCATCAGAAATTAAAAATAATAATAATGCACTTATGCAACATGTTAAACTGACTCTAGGTATATCATAAGAGACAATCATGCAATTAATGTGTGAATCATAACATTTTTTAAAATATTCTTTTATATTATTAATCTAGATAAGAAAAATAATTGTAATTAAACATTATATTTGATAAAATCAGTTTAAGGAAGAAAAAAAACAGCAACATTTTTTAGCTTTTTAATTTCGGGCACAAAAGGAATACTTTTCTCCAAAAATTGGATCAGAAAATAAAATGATTACCATGCATGCTCTTAATATTTAGAATTATGTATATAAGTTTGTATATATTTATACTTCTGAAAATTATTATATTAAAAAAGTAAACAGAAAATTTTATTTTATGAATACATATCATGGTAAGTTGTAAGCTTAACAAGTTATATTAAAAAGTAATTATAGATTTATATATTAAGGTGTTCTTTTTTATTGTTTAACAATATGAGAAAATATTAATACTATGTATATCATTTATTGTTATTCTTGACAAAATTTGATTAGCATATATACAATAATACAAGTATACTCTGATATATATTTTAGTGTATTAATTTTATTACTTTTTTAATTCTTTCATAAAATAAAAATTATACTTGATCTCACATGACTTTACTTATTTGTAGAATATAGCGAGTCGTTGCAATTTTGGAGTTTGCTCAGCTGCAGTTTTGGAGTTTTACTCATCGGAAATAGAAGTATAATATTGTAGGAAAGTGTTTAGGTTATGTTATAGAGATAAAAATTATGGGACCCGTATTTTTTATTTTTTTAAAAATATGTAGAAATTCCACAATTTCTATCTCTATAACATAACCTAAATATTTTCTTATAACATTATTTTTTTTTTCCTTTAACGGTCATCCTCAAAATGTGTGTTTTGCATCTTAATAAAAAAAATCCCTTATGCAGCAGACTCTGGTGACTGCTAACGTTACATCCCTGCACTGATAATAATTTGACGTTCGGTTGTATTTATATTGATTTATGAAAATAATACAGTAGAAATAGTTTAGTAATAGGCTGATTTTTATGTTGTGTATTATTTTATGAAAAATAAAATTAAGATAATGAACCAATAGAGATTATTAAAAAAGTAAAAATAAATTCTTGTCATAATGGGGACAATATTTTATAACCTAGTTTAGTAGAAACAAATTAATAATGTATGTTTTCCTTTATTGTATTTTGTCCAATATTTACATTATTTTAATAATTAAATATAATATAATTTTTACAATTCGTTTTGTAAAGCATAATCACTTTTTTTTAATATAACTTGGAGAGTATCCCTATTCAACCTCCTCTGGTCTGAGGCTCGAAGGCTAATTACCGAAGGAAGGATAAGACTAATCTCCCTTTAAGAAGAGAGACACATCCTTTGGCCCCTAAAATTTTTCTAAAAATTTGTTTGAAACAGAATTTGAATCTCTGATTCAAATAAATTCTTGAAAACTTATTTACCAATTGAGTTACTTCGGAAAACTGAATTTTTCTAAATTTTAAATTTTCGGATATTATCGTAAACTGAATGTAAAAATCATATTTTTGAAATTTGAGATTCCCGGATAAATAAAAATTTCTTCTGTACCAAACGCCTTCCTAGATGTATTTAATTCGGTACATTTTTATTACATTTGAATTTTTTTTCAGTATTTTTGGAAAAAAAAAAAAAAGAATTTCCCTCCGCATCAAAAAATTTCTTCTTTTGAAAAAGAATATATCAAATTAAAAAAATTTATTCAATTACTACAAAACAAATGCAACTTGCAAGCAAAAGAACAATAGTCTACAGAGGACATAAAAAAATACAATGGCACACTGGCATGCATGACAGTGGCATATGGGCTATGGCATCCCACTAGTCAAGTCACCAGTCAATGTAAAAAGAAATAACTTGACTGCAACTGCAGTGCCTCGTTAATGCAAAACTATTATCATGGGACCCACTCATCGCCTTAACCTATTTTTTTTTTTTAATAAAATCCATAGAGCCAGAGCACTATGATACAGTAGATTTTAGGTCTTAGATTCAGTTTGATAACAATAATTTACAATGACAAGCAAATATATTTTATTAATAACTGGTCAGGCTTTGACAAAGTTACCTCTTTTATGATCAGCATATCATTCACGCATGTGCAGTCAAAAAGTAACATGATGTTAATGATTTGAGTACAATATTATTAAAATATTAAAATACCCTGTATACCTACAATAATATTAATTTGAAAAATGGTACTGATCAATACTTGGATTGAGAGAATATATATATATCCATGGAGGCTAACGGTGTTAAAGAAACAAGTGTCTTTTAGCTAGTGTTTGGTTGAAGGTTTATTTTGAGATTGATGAAAAAATGTAAGTGGATATTAAAAAATATCACGTTTGATTCAGATTTTTTCAAAAAAATACTAGGCAAATAGGATAGATGGGGAAATGACTTTTGTGTTGATTTTTGGATGAAATTTACTGTTACAGAATACCACTTGAGATGTGGTATTTTGAGATAAGGAAGTGAAAAAACAGGTGCGAAGTTTCTCACGAACATATATTTTACAAATTTAAATAAATTTCCCTGGTAATATTTCGGTCAACCAAACAACTTTTTTTATATTTTCCTACCAAATTCATTTTCTAACTATTTCCCTAGTATTCAAAAAAAATTTCCTCAACCAAACACTTCCTAAGGGCCCTTTGTTAGTCAGATTCTTTTTTTCTTCTTTGAAAAGTTGGGTATGGAGAATTAGATATTCATGTTTGATAACAATAACGGCTACACTTTACGGGGTAACATTTTTGTCCATTTTTTGTAGTTAAGTGTAAATTTTGATAAGGACACGTTATAAATTATTCCATTGATAAGTTGGTATCTTTTGTTGTCCGAGAAATAAAAAAGTAGCAAAATAATCTGGACGAAATTAATTCCACTTTTGTGTGTACTATTTGTAAAGTTGAGATTATTTTTATAAAATAATCTCATATTCCTATTACTATTTCACAATCAACCAAACATTAACTCAGAAACTTATCCAAATATTTTCGGAATAAATTTTGGTCAACCAAACACATTTTTGTAACTTACCCAGGACGAAATATTTCCCACCATATTCCGGTAAAGTTATTTTCCCGGTGAATTTTTTTTTCTCTTGTACCAAACGCCTCCTAAGGTATCTGGCTCGATTGTTGAATGTTTGAGTTTATATATCTAAAATTGATTATTGGAATCAGGTTTGGATGAATTTATATAAAAACTCCTTTAATAAAAAGTTATCAGGCTTCAATTCAAAAGTCTGACCTTAAAGTCTCTCAGCGCCTAGTATACTAACTTTTAT